CTCAGTGCTTGGCGATTCCCCAGCTGGGACTGCTTGTGTGCCTAATCCACTTTCATATCTCAAAAGGGACTGGTTGAAGACACATCATACACTGATATGGCCTCATTAGCAGCTTAGTGCCTAGGGCACTTGACTGCTAACCAGAAGGCTGGTGGTTCAAACTCACCAGCCAGTCCTTGGAAGGAAGATGGAGCAATCTACTTCCATAGTGATACTGCCTCGGAAACCCAAGGAGAGGTCGCTATGAGTCAGCGACAGCACATAACAATAACAACAACAACAACAATGTAACGAAGAACATCTATTTCCAAATAGAATCACACCCACAGGTATAGGGGTTAGGGTATACAACACACGTTTTTTTGGGGGGGGGACATAATTCAATCCACACACAGCTATAACAGCTAAACACCAGTACCTCAGTCACTTAACACAATACCATGTCTTGCTTGCTCACATCACAGTTCAGTGTAGTTGGTGAGCTGGGATGTGCAGGAATGAGGAGGTGTGGAGTCTGCTCTGTGCAGGCACTCAGGGACTTAGGCTCCTTCCATAACAGGGTTCCTCCATCTACAACAGGAGGCTTCAAAAATATCCTGCAGTCATCAGCTGACAGGGAAGACATCAGGAAGGGGAGAAATCAGAGTTTCTTCTGCTGAGAGAGAGCTAAAACCTGTAATAACCATAGCTGGAAAGCGTAATATATGAAATTTCAAAACCTGGAGGTTAATTAAATGGAAAACCAACTTTGCAATATTCTTTCAAAACCAGCTTAAGCAAACATTCAGAAATTCTGATAAGTAACTAACATCCACATGTCTTGGCTTGAATAAGTAAAACTGCCAGGTACCAGAGGGTTCATTGTCCAAAGCCCCCAGGTTTTGAGGTAGACTCACTGCCTGGTCCTAGTGTGACCTAGTATGACCAAACAAACACGCAACCAAAAAGGTCTGAGTAATGTCAAATTACCATACTGAACTGATATTTCTTTCTTTCCAAGTTCAGAGCAAACAGAGTTGACACTGAGGCCATGTGGGTTTCAAACATCGCAAATGAAAACTTCTCCAGTTCAGACAACAGAAACTGTGCAACAGGAAATACAGCTACTAGTGCATAAAAAATAAGTCCTTGTTGCATCCTGTGATAAACTAGCTATACCTGTATCATAGCTCTTCCACACACAACAGAGCCCACCTGTAAAATGAAATATCCCCCTGGTGCTTCAGGTATTTTACATGGAAGCATTCCTCTCTAGGGTCCTAATTCAGAGAAATCAAGAGGATAAAGGGATTTGGCATACTCCCCAGAAACAAGCTGATGTTTATTTCCAGAGCAGTATGCTTTCCGTTTCATTTTGTGCCAACGTGCACTCACACCCACCCCACGCACACGCACACTCACACACACACACACACCCCAGGCACACTTTCTCTCTCTCTCACACACACACGTGTACACACACACACACACACACACGATGGCTCGTGCTATCACAGAATGTCTTCTAGGGACCAAGTTGTTTCCCTTGAAAACTTGTGCGGGCAGATCAGTCTCACACCCTGCTTGCTTTCCAACTCCAGCTCCCTAATCTGCCTCAGAGTTGCGCTGCAATTTGTGCTTCTGCAACATACTCCTTGGCTCACACGGACTTTCACCGCACTTGGGCTGAGATTGGCCAGAAGGAAGCGGGGGAGGCGCCATTGGGAACATTTTCCCCCCCCTCCACACACCATAAAAATCGGCAGCCCGCGCCCACAGCTCCCACCACTCCAAGCCTTGCAGCCGGCTGAGGACCGACAGCTCTGAGAGCTGCGGCTGTGAGCACGTGCAAACCTTTGTCACCTTCCAAACGCCCGCAGCTGCTGGGACAATGATTTTGAAAAGACTTGAAAGCTTGAGGCTAAAGTTAAAACGCAAGTGAGAACAAAACAGCAAACAGCAGACTCCTTGAGCGGAAAAGAAACACGTTGAAGCGTAAAGATTTTTAAAGTAAGGATGAGAGCTGTGCTTCCAAGGAGCTGAACCCCCCTGCCAGCTTTGGAGTTTCTGACGGTTACTGAGAGCAGGCATACACGTCTCAGCCTCCGAACTTCCAGACAGATAAAGAATTGGTGAAAAGCACCGGGCTACCGACCCAGGAGGCTGAGTCAGTTCGGGGGGACCGGGGAGCCCCTAGCTGCAGGATGAACTCCACCCACCCCCCTGGACTGCGCACCTCGCTGCACTTCTGGAACCACAGCAGCTACGCGCCGCACAGCAACGCCAGCGAGGCCCTGGCCAAAGGCTACTCGGACGGAGGTTGCTACGAGCAACTTTTTGTCTCTCCTGAGGTGTTTGTGACTCTGGGTGTCATAAGCTTATTGGAGAATATCCTGGTGATTGTGGCAATAGCCAAGAACAAGAATCTGCACTCACCCATGTACTTTTTCATCTGTAGCCTCGCTGTGGCTGACATGTTGGTGAGCGTTTCAAATGGATCCGAAACCATTGTCATCACCCTACTGAACAGTACCGATACGGACGCTCAAAGCTTCACGGTGAACATTGATAACGTCATTGACTCAGTGATCTGTAGCTCCTTGCTGGCCTCAATTTGCAGCCTGCTTTCCATCGCAGTGGACAGGTATTTCACTATCTTTTATGCGCTCCAGTACCATAACATCATGACGGTTAGGCGGGTTGGCCTCATCATCACTTGTATCTGGGCAGCGTGCACGGTTTCGGGCATTTTGTTCATCATTTACTCAGACAGCAGTGTCGTCCTCATCTGCCTCATCACCATGTTCTTCACCATGCTGGTTCTCATGGCTTCCCTGTATGTGCACATGTTCCTGATGGCCAGGTTCCACATCAAGCGCATTGCGGTCCTCCCGGGCACCGGCGCCATCCGCCAAGGTGCCAACATGAAGGGGGCCATCACCTTGACCATACTGATCGGGGTCTTTGTTGTCTGCTGGGCCCCATTCTTCCTCCACCTGATATTCTACATCTCCTGCCCCCAGAATCCATACTGTGTCTGCTTCATGTCTCACTTTAACTTGTATCTCATCCTGATCATGTGTAATTCCATCATTGATCCTCTCATTTATGCGCTCCGGAGTCAAGAACTGAGGAAAACCTTCAAAGAGATCATCTGTTGCTATCCTCTGGGAGGCCTCTGTGATCTGTCTAGCAGTTACTAAGTGGGAATAGAAGACCAGCCAACAACATGAGTAAGAGGCTGGCATTCTTAGGCACCTTGGACAGTGTACTTCAGCCCAGCTTTCTTCTCTGTAGAGCATCTCCTGACAATGTCTCTTGTACAAATTTAACTGTATGATTTTGGATGTGAAAAAAAAATGCCCAGTCTCTGTTATTTTTAATGTCTTGCTGCTTTTTGGCTGTAAAACATTCATCCATGTTATAGGTTGTAGGCACGATAGACTTACACAAAAAGAAAGAAAGAAGTCCTTATAAAAAGCCTAACAATGTCTCTTTCTTATTATTCATAAAGACTTGACACTTGCATGTTTTAGTAACAGAGCTATCACAGCCTCATTAAATATACTCTAATAAATGGTTTCTTATATCATACAATATTGAAATATAGAGATTTGATTCTAGTAGTTAAGGGGAACATATTGAAAAACAGATGCTTAATCATTAACAAAGTCGGCACCATAATGGAAATTTCAAGTCATTTCATAAGGGCTTTGTGCATTTCTCCCTGTGCAGACACAGACATGAAACTCCTCTTGAGCAAAAACCAGCTACCAAAAATGAAAAGGTGAGATTCTAAGTCAGAAAGCTGTGTGTGTTTCTCTAAGACAGAGGGATTCAATTGCCCATGCAAACAGTCTACTATCCCACACAGGGAATTTGAACTGGGGGCACAGGGAGAAGAGCAGTGATGGAAATTAAAGTGTTCTGGGAAAATAAGTTGTCATGTCAAGCTAAATTTCTTCATACCAAATTATAACCAACCACTGTCAATCAAAACAGAGAACGAGAGTCTCTCTGCAACTTTAGCCTGGAGCCCAATGGCTGCTGAAATGTCCAGAAAAGATGATGTTGCACACAGTGACCTGGTTTCCTACTGATAGAGAACCATACAATTAAGACCAGATCCTTTCATAATTCCTGTGGAAGTGACTTGCTGTTCACTTATTGCTTATTTTTACAACTGGAGTTCAATTGCTGATTATCAAGGATTTTCATGTAAATAAAAAAAGTCCACAGCACACGTGTTTTCAGGCAAAATTTGTAAACATCTGGAATAGAAGCACCTGTGTGGCACTGGCATGTTCTGAGCAGGAAAGTAGAAATCTTCTGAACCCCAGGGGACGCAATGCAAAGGAAGTCATCTTCCACAGGCACAGTTTGCAGAGTACAATCTTGTTTTGCTTCAAATAATCTCACAGGTTTAGCCATTGAGCTGTAAAATCTGTACTTTCCAGTGTGTGGGTTCTTTAAAATGAAAAAGAGAAAGAAAATAGTAGGCTGAGTATTAACAGTAAGCCATCATGTGATTTAACTTATGTTTTTAAATGCAAATGGAAGATAATGTGCAAAGGATGTCTTAATTCAAGTTCAATGTTTTACATATTGATAATAAAGTATGAGAAACACTTTCAGCATTCCTGTGGAAACATTACACTCAAGTACAAAGGGTAAATTGAAGTTTACAAATGAAAGGGCTTCTGGAGATGGGTTTTAATTCCACTACATTTCTTTTATTTTGAAGTGAAAATGACTGCAAGGATTTAAATATAAAGTAATAGACCAGTCAGAACCCAGAGCTGTAGCAGGTCACATGTGAGAAATCTCAGAGCTGTAGATACAGAAAAGAGAGCTGTAAGCATGCCACATCT